GAATATGTTTAATATAACGCAACCATTGCCAAGAAAGGCTTAGTATACTTGAACCAGGGAACCATTTCCTTAAGCAGATAAAGACCTATACTTCAGTCCAAGGGCTAACATCAAAAGCTGGTTATACCCCATAAACATGTATAGTTTTAAAAGATCATTTAAAGAAAAAAAGCTGGTGAAAAATATTAAAGGCATTTCTAAAAATGTGCGGGAAAATTTATTTAACTATGTGAGGTATAAATGTTACAAAGAGAAAAAAACTATCATTGATGACACTTAAAACGACTGGCTACTGAGAAGAGAATCAACTAGGATTCACCAAAGAGTTCAAAAAAGTTACCAAACACAAAAATCAATAGCTTGACATCACAAGAGCAACCAGTTATTAAAAAAAAATGGAAAAATGACCCCATTCACATAGCAACAAAGATATAAAATACTAATAATACAACTAATAAGAAACATGCATGATACACAAAATTACTGAAGAGCATATAGGCCATCTTCAGTAACCTTGACATGGGACACATTCCTGAGCAGGACAATCAATGTCACAAAGATGGAAATTCTCCCCAAAATAATTTACAATATTAAAGTAATTCTAAACAAAATGCCAGTAGCATTTCTTTTCGAATGTGATGAAAATATGGCTAAAGCTTATCTGGAAGAATAAATGCACAATATAGCCAAAAATATTTTGTAAAGGAAGAACAAAATTTACTCCATTGAGAAGCTAAACACAAAGTAATGCAAATTATAAAATGGCAATAATCAAAACAGCATGGTTCAGGAGCAGAAAACACCAAATACAAACAAGCAAGCAATAAATCCAGAAACCATTCCAAGTATATGTAAGAATTTAATATTTGATAAACGTGGAATTTTCAAAACAGTAGAAAAGGGAGTTTTCAATGGATGATGATGAAACAGCTAAATAAATATTTAGACTTTAATTACACCTATATCAAAAATAAATTCCATTTGAAGATTCAAATCTAAAAAATTGAAATGAAAGGAAACACAGACAGCTGTTTATATAACATTAGGATGTATATCTTTAACATATCACCAAAAGCAGAAATCACGGGATAATAGATATTCATCTAAATTTAAAATGCAATATTTCTGTATATCAACATCATGAATTAAATTGGTACATATCTGAAAAAGGACAAAATGTCTGCAGCATACAGAATAAACAAATGGTTAGTGGTTTTAATATATAAAGAGCTCTTAGTAATCAGTAAAAAGTGAACACCCCCAACAGAAGAATTAGCAAATGCATTCATTCATTCAATAGAAGTTTGTTGTGCACCTAATATGTATCAAATATTGTGCTAGGGGCTGAGAATACAACGCTGAAAAATCTAGACATCTTCTCTCATACATTCTAGTATGAGAAACAGACCCCCCCCCCCAAAAAAAAGCAAATAAATAAATAAAGTTACAAAATGAGAGAAGGGATTTGAGAAACACAGGAAACAAAGAACTGGGATGGCAAATGGGAGGGGGGTTGGAGACTACTTTCAGTTGGCTGCTTGGAGCAGGCTTTTCTCTGAACACTGCGGTTAGCAGTAATCTAAGGGGTCGCGTTGTGGTAAGGGAGAGGGAAGCTGTGAGGAGCAGCCTTATTAAGCCCCTGAGGTGCAGAAGGGATCTGGGCAGGTTGGAGGTTCCAGTGTGACTGCATCATAGTGGGCAACAGAGAGGAGCAGAGGTGGCGCTGGAGACCCAGGCAGAGGTCAGATGCTACAAGGCTGGGTGAAGCTGTGGAGGGAGGTTGGATTTCATCCTGTAAAAGCAGTAATTTACTTGGTTCAACTTTTCAGAGGGGTCATTGTTGCCACACCATCAGGAATGTACTGAAGGTAGTCAAGAGCGGTGGCAGAGAGCTGACCAGGCAGGACTGGCTGTCACAAGAGTCAGATGGGAAAACAAACAAACAAACAAAAATGCATATACATATATATATGTTAGGACAAAATGATGGCACTGAACATGGAAAGGAGCAGACAGATTGCAGACATATTTGCAGGGTGAAACTGATCGGCTGGACTGGCCTATCTGACATAGGGGACAGAAAGATCAAGGATGATCCAGGTTTCTGGCTTGAGTAACTGGGTGAATGGTGGTGCTATTTATTGCAATAGGGAAGATGAAGAAACCGATTTGGGGTGTGAGTGAGGAATTAGATATTGGAAATGTTGAATTTGAGAAATCTGAGTCATCCAAAGGAAGATAATTAAGGAAGCAATTAGATATGTGAGACTACAGCTTAGAGGAAAAGGTCTGGGGGGGAAAGCATACATTTGAAACTCATTAGCATAAAGATGATACTTAAATCTGTGGAAAATGATAAGATTATCCTGAGAAAGAACAGAAAGGAGGGACCAGAATAGAGATGAGAAACCCTAACTTTTAAAAATTAGGCAGGAGAATATCAAATATAAAACCAAGGACCGATCAGTGAAGCCAAAAGAAAACCAGGAGTGAACACTGTCTTGGAGACAATGTAAGGAATCAGAAAGTGGCCAAACGAAGCAGAGGTGAGGACAGGAATTCGCCCTTTAGACTGGGTAATGTGGAAGTGAGCAGTGACCTTAACAAGGGCACTTTCAGGGATGACAGTGGAGACATGCCCTGAAATAGAAGATCAGAAAATGGAGACAACACAGGGCCGGCGTTTTTGGAGTAGTGGGTAAGGCCTCCACCTATGGTGCCAGCATCCCATATGGAAGCAGGTTGGAGTTCTGGCTGCTCCACTTCCAATCCAGCTCCCTGCTAATGGCTGGGGAAGCAGTAGAAGATGGTCCAAGTGCTTGGGCTCCTGCACCCACATGGGAGACCTGGAAGAAGCTCCTGGCTCCTGGTTTTGGATCGGCCCAGCTCCAGCGGTTGTGGCTGATTGGAGAGTGAAACAGCAGAATTAAGATTTTTCTGTCTCTCCCTAACTCTGCCTTTCAAATACAAAAACAAATATTTAAAAAAAAATAAATAAAATGGATAAAGTCAACAAATAAAGTCAACGCCACAAAGAGATATGTTTACAAAGAAGAGTTGAAAACAGTTCATCGATGGAGAAGATGTGCACAAGCCGAGATCTGGAAGACACGGACACAGAACTTGTCTGCTAGCTGATGAGAACGACCTGTGGAGGGGAGGGAGGGCTGACGATGCAGAAAAGGGGAGAGGGCAGGAGCGCATGGCGTCTGGAACACACGAGGAGGGCTTGGCTTCTAAACTTCCTCTATGCACAGGGAGACGGTCACCAGAGAGCTAGTTTGGAGGGTCCTGCGGTGGCCGAGATGAAGTTTGTATGACGTGGCTTCTGCTTTCTCAGGGAGACGTGAAGTAAATGGGGAGAAAGGAATCAGAACATCGCGGGGAGATGAGAAGGTAGAATCGGGGGGCCTAGAAGTGGGGAGCTGAGGCTCTGGTAGGAACAACAGCACCAGTCTGAGGTTTGAGATAGTGGATTCAGAGTAAAACGAGTTGGTCGAGTTGTATGATTTTCTAGAAGAAAACAGTCAGTTGGTCCTGTCAGGCCCATGGAAGGTAGATGGCAACGTTTATCCAGGGTTGGATTTTGTCAGGAAAGTTAAGTCCGAATAAATTGAGATTCGAGTGTGCGGACAGCATTGTACTTCAAGGAGAATGGACCATGGAATCCAGGCTAGACAAGGAAGTGGACCCAAGGCTGGAGCTGATCAGGTAGTGGTGGAAATGAGGTTAAACAATTAGCTGTCGACGCGCAGGAATGCGGGATGAAGATGGCGACAGAGAGGAATGTTTTAGTTCAGGTCCAGATACCAGGACAGGATTCGACCTGCAAGTTTTTACTGTGGGAACACCTGGAATGGATAAAGGGGAGGAGGCCTTCATACTGTAAGACAGGTCTGACACCTAACGAAAGGAGTGGGGAATGGGCAAGAAAGCCTCGTGCTGCGAGATTGTAAGACGGTTCTGGCCAGGCTACTGGGAGTCCCCAGGCCAAACTGCTCATAAGGAGTCCTGAATATCGTATGAACCAGCCAGAACCAATACCCTTGTTGTGCTCGGTCCCTGGAGCCGGGCAGCCCAGGAGGAGGAGGCCTCAGTGCAAGTCCAATAGTGGATTCCTTAGGGCAGGAGATCCGACAGGTGCATTCCCGGGGTCACCACAGACAAGACTGTACAGAGAAGCAGCAGGTGCTAACGACGACCAAGGGCTAGAACCGTGGGAACAAGAACTGAATCCGAAGGGAGATGGTCGCTGGAGATGAGTCTACAGGAAGGAGGGGACCGGAGGCCGGAGTTCGAGTCCAACCCTAGTTGTGAATTACACAAGGCCAGGTTGTGTCACCCACCACGACAGTCTTGGGGGACCTGGGCAATTATGAAAACCATCTTCGGGCGGAAGGCAGCAGTGGGGCGGGGAGGGGCTGGCGACACTACGAGGGTGTGAGGTGCAGCAGACTACAGTAGGAGCTAGTCTTTGAAGAACCAACAGCAAAAGACACTGACCAGGAAAAAAAGCAAGTCTATAAATTACGAGGGAGGAAAAGGAGTGGATGGCATTGTCCAGTGGCAAGATTCTCAGAGAAGCCGGGGCTTTGGCAGGCAGGGCGAAGTCGTGCTCCGAGGCCTCCCCCGCAGCCCGGCCCCTAAGGCACGCGGTCCTTCGGAGGGGCTTGGCGGGAAGGCGTCCTGGGCCACGCCGGGTTCCGTGAGGGCGTGGGGCTGAGCGCGGCCCGCGGGCAGGCGGAGGACACGGGGAAGTGGCGACGACAGCGCTCCCCGAGGGCCCGGGGCCGGCCGGCGCTGCCTGCGGAGGCGCCTGAGGTACAGCGGCTGTGCGGCGTGCGGCCGTGGTGCGGGGCGCTCAGGGCGCCGCGGCTTTGCCGAGCCCCCGCGCCGCGTGCTGGCGCTCCCGGGCGGCGGCGCCGCGGAGCTTGGCGCGGCAGCTGGCGGCGGCCTGGCGCGTGGTGACGGCGCCCGCGGGCGGGCAGCGGCTCCCGGGGGCGGCCGGGCGCAGGGCGGCGGCGCTGCGGGACGACGGCTTCGCGAGGCTTCGGCCCGCACGGGCGGCAGCGGTCCCCAGGGAGGAAAGACAAAGACACGCCGGTTAGCAACGGGCAAGGAGAGCGCGGCGCCTCTCGGCTCCCCAAAGCGCCGCGGTCCCCAGCGGCCGCGAGCCGCCCCTTCCGCCCCACAGGCTGTCGGCCGGGCTGGAACTGCGGGTCCGAGGAGACGGCGGCCAACCGAAGCCTCCCACGACAACGTCTCAGCGCTTTGGGGAAACACGGCAAAACCGGCAACATTTTTTAAATGCTTTGACCCAGAAATCCTCATTTGAGAATTCTCCCCTGAGGCGAATACATGCAAGGTTTTTCACGCAAGGTGCTAAGGTCAGTATCCCACCCCGAGGTCTTCTAAAACTTTCTGGAAAATACATCTTATCAAAAAAAAATACTTTGCACGGATTTTCAAGTTTTTGCACCAAAACAATTTCATGTCTCCACGAACTTTTTGAAGTACCTTCGTATAACAGCAATTAACAGAAGTTTTTTAAAAAAAACACGGGACAAAAAGAAAATGAAAGAAAAAGAAATGGAGTGTTTCCTACCTGACAAAATAACGTATTGGCTAGGCTTTCGTGTTTTTCTTACAGTGGATCCTAACAGGGTACTGAAACAAGGCTGTGCAATAATACCTAGTGATGCGAGAAAGCATTTATGTCGTGCGTGCATGTGCGTGTGCACGGGTAGTGAGGGCGGCCGTGTGGACACACACCACGCGGGTGACACACACCACGGGGAGCAGCACACCCGTGTGCCCAGTGCTCACCCCCGGGTGATCTGGCTGCAAGTCCTCTTTACTTTCCTCTTAGTTATAGTTCCCAAACTTTATACACATTTTTATAATAAAAATGTTAACTTACGCCACTCTTTGTTCCCATTCTATCTTTACCCCAATTCAAATTCAGGACAGTAGTGTGGGCTGTGAAGCACAGCTGTGGACATCCAAGGATTTTAAAGAACAGAGCCCACAACAACGACTTATCTTCCATACAGAGTTGTAAGTAAATCTCAGTTACAGAGCAGTTACCCTTCAACCTTACCCTCCTCAAAGCTACTGTCTTCGGTGAAGTTATACCTTATTTTACTTATTATTATTTCTACCTGGAGGGAGGAAAGTTTTCTGAACTTCTAACAAACATAATTTGATGTGTAACTTCCACAAATTTGGAAACACAAAATTTGCTTTAAAATGAAACAAAGTTACCATACTTTTGGAATAAATGTTTACAATACTAATGTTTTATAATTCAATAATATTCTTGAGTTTAAAAGAGTAAAAACTAAAATGTTGCATTGAAGTAGTCTAAACTTCCTGGTCTTCCAATCATAACACATTCAAAATTTTAATTTATTAATATCTAGGGAGTCTGCTAAATCTTGTTTCAGAAAAATGAATAAATGTGATAATAAGGTTATAATACAATATAGAGGATTTCCAGGAATTTATTATTAAATTGACAGAAGACTCTTCATAAGTTCCAAAGGTATTTTAAGCCATCAAAGTTGTGAGACTGATTTTATTTAGTGATCAGTAAATCTTTGTTTATTGGACTATTACTTAAATAGATGATGACCTAATGAATCACCTCATCCTCTCCCAGAACGGAGGCACTGGATCTTGGAATACCTTTTAGTAAAAAATGTGCAAAAGACATAAAACTTAGAAGAAATCCTAAGAAGTCGAAAGCCTGTGCTAACTGCCCTGAACAAAATGAAGGCTATGGGGGATTTTTATAAAGTTATCGTTTCTCAAAAGCCTTCTTGCTCACCAAATGATTTAACAAAACAGGATTACGTGCAGGTAAGACAGAAAAACCTTTATTATTGGTGCTATATCCAGCTTTCATTATCCATAGGATGGTTTCAATTTGATTCAACATTTCTGGAGTGCCTGATGTGTCTTAGGCACTGTGCTCAGACACAAAGAACTAAAAAGATAACAGTTTCCCATCTGAGAAGACCCAGAGGATGCCTCAGACCCTGGGGCTAACCTGAATCCCTAAACCAGTCACAGTCCTGCCCACGTTCTTCACGTGAGCTTTCTCATTTCCTGTCCTTCCTTTGCTCAGAGTCACCCAGAACACAGCTCTGTCTCCACTAGCTGAATCAATAGTTTCTAACCGTACAGGGGAGTTTTGCAAAGACCGGCATGAGATTCTGACTAAAGATAGGAACTTCCTGCTCCAGGAACATGCAGAGAAAATCCTTGATTCCACTAGAAACCGACTCCCTGAGCAGATGCAATCTATAAAACACAGTGTTTACAAAGGATTATGCCTCCCTTACCTTATTATTTTTTCATACAAGAAAAATGTTCACTTCCTGGAAAAAAAATTTCAAAAATTCTAACTGCTCATAGTGAGTCCCAGTAAGACTTGTTTTAAATGAGTTAAAGGTGGGATGCAGCCTTTGACACAGCAACACATACTTTATCTTTGATAGTCACAAATTTTCCCCTGCAACACCAAGTGCTAAAGTCCTTAATTCACAAAGCTAAGCAGAACTGAGAGCGGAGTCCCAAAGGATGCTGTGCCAGGGTAAGGGAGCCTGTTCACTGTAACACCAAACTCCTCCAAGACTTTCAAGCTAAGAGTCAAGTCACATTACTTCTTCTGCCTTCAGAATCAAGTTAGTATCTCTGGAGTCAGCAAGCTTCTGTCTAGTGGAGAAAAAAATCAGATTCTGGTTGCTACTTCCTGGCAATCTCTCCTGGAAAGTAACGTGGCACAGTGACGTGCAGCAAGCCTGGCCTCTGGCCTCACAGGTGCACCACCTGCCCTCACAGCGCTAGGATTTTCTTTTCCTTCCTTTTGAATATTCACTTGAGACAGAACGAGGGCAAGAGCGAGAGTGAGAGTGAGAGAGATTAAGATACTGATAGTCTTTACAGTTTCCAAAAAAAGTATTCTAAAACAAGATTCTCCTTTGGTGACATAGAAGGCACATGAAAACATGAAGCTGGAAGTACTGAGAGGTTTAAGTAAGTTTCATCCGGTTGCATGCTCCCCATTTTCCCCCCAAGTCTGGAGTTAGTGATGTCATTTGACAGAAGTATTGCCTCGATTGCCCTTCATGGACCACATTTAAGAACCTCTGAGCCAAATTAAATTGGCTTGTCATTCCCTTAACATACTATATTTATATAACTATTTTTCACCTCTGCTTTTGTTCCTGGCATTTCACCCATCAAAAAAGTGCTTTCTCTCTCCTTTTATCTATTCAAATACTCTCCATCTCATGATCCAGACCAAAGCTAGTCTCTTCCACTGAACTCCGTATCACTGCAAGCTGACATCTTGTGTCCCTCTTCCAATCTCCTACCAAGGTTGCTCTGACACCACCAGATCACAGTACACCATAACCTGTGTTTTTTACAACATACAAAGAGCTGTGGCCAATTCTCCCTGTTCCCCAATTTATTTTTCCATTCTTGAAACAATAACTCATCTTCCCGATGGATGTAGAGGGGAAGGCTAATAATGCTTATTGTTGCTGGAGTAACCAACTAATTTATCTGAGTCATTCCTTTCTGCACTCATTTTCACACAAAATGTTTTATCAGCTGGGTACTTGTCAGATCTGTGTCACTGCTGACAGCTGAGTTCACCGTCATCCTACCTCTGGCCATGGATTTTCAATCATTACCTCCCAAAGCCATAGACATATTTCCCTTCTAAGGATTCAGATGCTGCTACCACTTTCAAAATAGCTTCACACTCAGAGAAAGAATTTAAGCAAAGCTTGAAATGAAGATGAGCACAGTTATTCAACAGAAAGGGCCACAACTGGCATCATCTATGCAAGTAAGATAAAATCAAATGGATTCGGGAGCTGAGCAGGAACTTAAAGATCATCTCTTTCAAGAGATGCACATTACAAGTGAAAGAACCATGGGAAATGGAGCATTTCAGAGCAAGAAACTGAAACTTTAAAATAACAGAGATCTCATACACAAAGTAGGTGAAAAAATCACAAAGAGGCAAAGGTATTGTCCTACACAACTCATGAATTCAAACACTGAGGATCTATGAAGTAAATAAAAAGAATTAAAGAACAAAAATAACTCAGAACATAAAAGATGAGAGTGATCAATCATCTATAGAAATGGCCCAAAAGGCTGCTTTGACACTGGAAGTAACACAGGGTACTTGGACTCAACACCAGTCACACTCACGAGTAGTTATTATTTACGAGTATTTACTATATGCCAGGCATTGGACTAAGTCACATACATTTGCTCAATTTTATTAACCTGTAATTAAGAAAAATGGGTTGAAGGAGATAGTCTATTTACCTCTGAAATAAACCATGAAGGAAAAGTTGGACATGTTTCTATACCCTGGAGCAGAAAAGGTGCTCTGAAAATTCAACAATATCTGGTCTAAGTGGCAGCTGTATCCCTATGAGAAAGATGAATGTAACAGTCATCTGATTCAATGCTCATCAAGCACCATTCTGGTTATAATTTAGTTTTCCATGCTGATTTCCCTACTAAGAGAAAATACACTGAACCATAAACATCCTGGCTTCTTCACTGTAAATTAAAGAACTGGCAATGTGGTACTTACACACCAGTACCTATCAGGGTGATTAGAGTGAGACAGCCCTCCAGTACCCAGTCACCTCTCCAGATGAACCAACGATCAGGACAAGTCTTAGAAAGTAGTTGCTATGCGAGTGCTAGCTGGGAGGTCAGGCAAGGCAGCTGGTCTGCTGTTGTACTGTTCACCTTTGAACCACAGTCCCATGTGGTCACACTCACACACACACACAATCAGAGAGAGAGAGAGAGAAAATCATTCAATCAGAAATAGAAGGAGGAACAAAATAGTGTTGTTTCTCCGTGCTCCAGAGCACTACTTTGTGAATCTGGAGTTTAGTTTTTACAGGAGAGAAGGCTGAAGGTTTTGTTGTTTAGTTTTTTAAAATGCAAAGAAGTGTTTATTTTGCTTTTCAAAAGAATTAGCCAATCTAAGCAACAGGAAAAAAAAGATTTTGACACATAAACTTTTATCAAATACTAAATATCAAAACATTTCATATGTCTGCAAAGATACGCAATATGTGGTTACTTCGGGATTTTCTGTTTAGGGTGCTTTGTCAGCTTTTATTTTCTGATTTTATCGCCATGGAAGAGAGACCTATCAATCTAGCAAGTTCCTACTATACAGATCACAATTCTTGACAAGACTTCAGTTCACTCTCTTACACCAAGAATTCCAATGTCAAAACACAGTAAGACCTTAGTACCTTGTGCTCAGGGTTGAGGATAACACATGTTAACAGCTGCACTAACGCTATGAACCTCAAGGATATGATCTTAACTTGTTCTACTACTGAATTTTAATTACTGTGTTGATGTTATGAAAATATACTTTGTCTGATTAACTTTTTTCCAGTCGCTGGTTGGAATTATAATATTACTGGGTTTTTTTCCCCAATAGAATTACCCTATAAACAATACATTGAGAAGTACTGCCATCTTTAGGAAGAATGCAGGGTTGCTGACTAATTAACTATCTAAAGCAAAAATCAAATATAATCCTATCATAGATATTTGGCATGGGAAACGTATTTTTATATAGATTTGTCTCTGTGACACAACTGTTCCATCAGATCTAAAATCAAGCAGTTCTAAAAGAATCTCAGAAAAATAAGCCAGTAAAATTATAATGACAAGTTATATTGATAAACAAGCTCACAATGATCAAAACTAAAGGTGTGTTTTTATAGATGATCATGGATCATATCAAGATTAAAATAATAAAATATTAAAATAAAACTGGAGAAATAAACGAGAAACCATTTCTGTAATTTGCATGAGAGACTGGAGATTTAAAACTTTAGAAAATGAAACAGACATTTGTGGTTTGGTATTTGCCATATCTTTGCTTCTCAGAGCTCTGAGATAAACTGACTGGTTTATACACATCAGATAAATTTTTACTTAAATCTAAAGGTAAACTAATTTCCCTGGAAACATCAACTGCCATTTCT